TTGACGAGTGCTTCGATTATTTGATAGTCTCATGGACGCTCTCTTAATTGTCCTAGAAAAAACTGTTCATTCAATGAACATGAATGTTACAATGAATATTTAAATAAATACTATTGCATACGAAATGTTAATTTAATGGAATCATATTTGGATTGTGAAGATTCACGACCTTTTCGTGAAATTTATTTTAATAATATAACGATGAGTGATAATACGTATTATTTTTTATGGAATCAAACGAAATGTATTACTTCACAACATATTTGTCAACAACAACAATCGTTTTTATCATCAGCGGACGACGATATTTGTTTAATGCAACCTTTCGTACGATTTATCACACAAATAGCTACTGTTTTCATAATATCCGATGAATACAGATGCAGAATGTTAGATGGAAATCCTTCCAGTGAAAATTCAAAACCATTTCTGATTACTTCTCGATTAAGTTACTTTCCATCAATAACATCGAATATTAATTCTCATGAACAAACGAATAATTTTTATGATAATTATATTTCACTTGAAGAAACAATTTACAGTCGAGCAGATTGGTATTGTAATCGAGGAATTGTTATTTTCTATAAATCAAATAAAACAAAAAATGTCTTTGTTCACCAAGTTATTTTGGTTCACGATGTCAATGACAAAATCAACGTATAAGTTTAACATTACAATTTATCTATCATTCTTCAACATATTTAATATCTGTATTTCAAATTCTTATTATGATTATTGATCAACAAAGAGAAATTTCGTCTTATCATGAACAAATAACATATGTACCTAAACGAGATTGTAATACAAAATTTAATCTTTATTTACTTTATCCAGATCAACCAAAAAATTCTTCATCAAATTATTCAATCCATATAGATATTTATAATAAAACAGATTTAACATATTGAGGAAGTTGACATTTATCTATACCATTTCAATTTTTACCTGTTAATCGAATAGCTACTCAATTATTTCTTTCATCTAATGAACAACCAACAATTTGTCCATTATCTTGTGGTATTCATGGAAAATGTATTGCATATATTAATAAAAATTCTTCATATTTTTGTAAATGTAATCAAGGTTATTCTGGTATTTATTGTCAAAAGGAACATAATTGTACTTGTTCATCTGATTCATTATGTATAACATCATCTATATGTATTTGTCCAATAAATAAATTTGGTTCAAAATGTTATTTAAAACATTCATTTTGTCAATCATGTGAAAATAATGGATTATTTATATCGAATGATAATCGTTTTCATTTAACAAATAATTTTACATGTTTATGTCAAGAAGAATTTTATGGAATACGATGTGAAAATACTAAAAATCAAATTGATATTGAATTTAATGAAGAAACAATAAAAAAATATCATTGATATTTGTACATTATATAACAGCATTTCAAAATGCTAAACATCAACATACAACAACATTAAAAAAAATTATCTATGGACAAAATACAATAAAACTTTTTATAACACAACCATTTCATATTATTCTTATTGAAATTTCGAAACAAAATTATTATTTAGCTGTATTACGAGAAAGATTTATTTAATCTGAATATATTAAAACAAAAATCTTATCAAATCAAAAATGTTTTCATATAAATGAATTATTAAATAAAACATTTCAATTGTATCCTTTATGTAATCGTATTAAATATTATCCAATGATATATCGACAATATAACAATTTAATGTGTTTTTATGATGAATTTTATATGTGTATATGTGATTTTGATCGTTTTTCAAATTGTTTTTTATTTAATCAAACAAGAATATATAATTGTCAAAATGATGGACAATATTTTTAACATAATATAACATGTCCAACTGTTATTATGGAATAAAATGTCAATTTTTAATAAAAGGATTTTTGTACCACTGATTATATCTTAGTTTATCATTATCAAATTAACCATTATTAATTCAAATAAGTATAGGTATAACAACATTAATGTTTATTTTCGGCTTAATAAGTGGAATATTATCAATATTAACATTTCATATGAAAAAAAACCCGAAATGTTGGTTGTGGATTTTATTTATTTATTTCTTCATGGAATTCAATGTTAATATTAATTATATTAATAATTAAATTTTGGCAATTAATTTTATCTCAAATGTTTATTTTAAATAATCGATCAATATTATATGTGAATTGTTTAATATTAGATGTGATTATTCAAGTATGTTTAACATTTAATGATTATCTTTATGGATGTGTTTCAATTGAACGTGCTATTACAGTACATAAAGGAATAAATTTTAATAAAAGTAAAAGTAAACGAATAGCTAAATGGATAAGTTTATGTATTTTTATTTTAATAATGTTAACACATGTTTATGATCCAATTCATCGTCATTTAATTGATGATATTGATATAGATGAACAACGTATATGGTGTGTTGTTCAATATTCTTCATCAATTCATATTTATAATTCATTTATAACACTTTTTCATTTTCTTCTTCCATTATTAATAAATATTATTTCAACAATATATATTATTATTTCAATATCACGTTCACGTTTAACTATTCAACCACGATTAACATTTAAAGAACATTTACAATTACAATTAAAACAATATAAATCTCATCTTATTGCTTTATGTACTTTAGTATTTTTAGCTTTACCACATTTAATAATATCATTTATAAGTGGATGTATGAAATCACCATATCATTCTTGGCTTTTTCTTTCGAGTTATTTATTTGCATTTTTACCATCGATGATAACATTTATTATATTTGTATTACCATCGAAAATGTACAAAAAGGAATTTAATACTGTTCTTGATCAAACAATTCGAAGACTTCGTACTACATATCGACGATAATGATTTACATTAACAATTATGACATTAAATTTACATACTCTGTACTTATTGTATTGTATTGTATAAGTATTTTCATATAGGCTGTGGATGTGGGCATCATCTTTATCTTATATTTTTCTCGCGTTGAAAAGTATTCTATCTGAAATATAATTTTGATATAGAATCAACGTTTGTCGAAGGTGTATGCTGTTGATATTAATTATCTTTATTTATAGATAAATTTTACTTTGATATATGTGCGAGACAAGGTTTGTTTTCATTTGTTGACGAATGGCGTGAGTGTGGGTAATAGATAATAATAGCATGCACACTCAGACTCATATCTACACCTTCAGAGAGTCCTAGGATCTATCGTATACAAAAATATAAACATCTTTTGTATGATATGCAAAGAATTTAAAAAACAATGACTTATTATTATTGTTTTGAAAAATATGATAAAATATCTTAGAATCATAGTCTCGTTCACATTCATACTTACACCTTCAGTGATATTCGCTAGAGTTTATTTTCATCATAAAATTTTTATCGATATTTTTGAGCTTTTGGTCCAGATCGATGTTTGAATTTGTCAACTTTTGGTCGTTTCGGTAGTGTATTAAACCGTCCTGATCGAGCTGATTGGGCTTCTTTTTTCTTTCGCTCTTGCTCTTGCTCTTGCTCTTTCTGGAGATTATAGAGGGACATTACAAAATCGTCAAATGATGTATCATTGCATCGTGGTTCTAAATCATCACTCAGACACCGTAACTTCAACACAAAATCTGAACGATCAAGAGTTTTGAAGGGACTGAAGTCCAAGTAGCAGTTGAATTTAGCTGAAGACACGTAAATATCTTTCCACGCAAAAGCATTGTAGAAGTTTGGTGTAAGATATTGATTCTCATTGTTTAAATATCTAACAAAATGAATTTTAATATTTTGAATGATCTGTTCATTAGTTGGCAGTTGTCTTTGTTGACTATGAGAAAATAATGAAAAACATTCTTTTTTTATTATTTTCAATGTGTGATAACGAAATCTTGAATGAAAAATATTTGGATGTGAGAAAATATCCATGAGTAATGTGAAGATACTATTTATTGTGTTTAAATCATTTAAGTTGTAAGCATTTTTACTAATACTAATGATAAATTGAGCAGCTATATTTCGTGCTTCACGAATATTTGCTGGACGCCATTGAATATGTTTGTTCACATCATCAATATCAATGAGATTTGTCAAAACAAGTTGTTGATTTTTAAGAAGAGGAAGTGGTAATGGCTCAATACATAGATAATCATAAAGTTCAAGCATACATAATACATCTGCTTCATGTGTTAATTCAGTGAATAGAGCAGATGGTTGTTCCTTAATAACCGATTGAAAGATCGACTTAAACCAGTCATAACAAATAGGGTTGTCTAATATGTATTCACCATTGTCGTTCTTATTGACTGAGAAATCATCTCTATGATTTACAAAAGCAAATAAATAAGGAAAATGATTAAGTTGTTGTTGTGTAATTTGAATAGTTTTCTCAGTAATACCAAAACGAAATCTGTAGATTGTTTCGTTCATTTTCGATATTTCATTCATTTGTTGGAATATTTATTTCACGAAATGACTATTTTTAAATCGCTAGTAGTTAATAGTAAAATATCTATTTCTTTTGTTTTTCATTCTGTTGGTATTTAGTCATAAAAAACTTGGTTTTTTCCTGAGAATTGGTATGAGTCATATTTATAGGACTACAAATATATCTGTAGAATGATAACATCTGTCGTATTTTGAAGT